CTCTGGGGCTCAGGAGAGGACCCCCAGGCAGCATAAAGGGCAGGAGGGAGCCTGGCCTGATCCCAAGGATGAACTGGGGACAGAATTTAAATTTGCAGCAAGGAAACCATTTAAAATCCCCCTTTGCTGTTTGGTAAGTACAGATGAACCATGTTCCAGGAAAGCACAGAAGAAGACGCAATCTAGCTTCCTATGAGAACAAATGTCAAACTGGCAGGGCCTTCTTCTCCGGCAGTGATAGATGCACAGTGGCACATTGTCTTGTCCTGTCTGGTCAGCCAAAGAAACCACCATGGCAAAATTACTTTTGTCAGGCCAGGCTGCAATTACTTTCATTATAGCTCATTGCAGAGTCTTTACGTCATAGATGGGTGGCTCCCTGACAAGAGTTTGGCTCTCTGGGGGATGGATTCCATAGCTGGCTAAGCCTGTCAGCCTGTGCTGACCCAGGTGAGCTCACACCGACAATGCCACCTGTCTGACACTGCTCTTCGACTTATGGGGGTAGGGTGCAGTCACCATTAAGTGAGTTCTGTAAGTGTTTGTCTGCTCACCACAAGGTTGGTGGTTCAAACCCAGCAGCTGCTCCAAGGAAAAAAGGACGAGTCTGTCTGCTACTCCAAAGCCTTAAAAGCTCAGAAATGCTACATAGCATCACTTGGGGTCAAAGTCAACTCAATGGCAGTGGATTTGGCTTCGTGTGGGGTTGTTCTCTTTACCCCAATTCCAAACTCCTGCTCCACAGTACTCAAGGGGCACCAAGTCGTTTCCTGTTCATGCACTGGTGGGATTCAGAGAGGAGGCAGGGAAGACATTTGATAGCACAGAGTCATTTCCTATCTGTGCACTGGAGGGATTCAGAGAGGAAGCAGGGAAGACATTTGATCAGGAGAGCAGAGACTCAGGGCTAGTAGCTTGATGGCTTCTCTGGGCTGGGAGAGAATTATTTCTCTTTTTCAGAACGTAGTGTTTTGTTGGGTCAGTTCATTTTTAGTATGTATAATGAAGAAGAGATAGTCTAACAACTGAAAAAATTATGTCTTTATAGCTATTCTAAAACCAAAAGATGATGGGCTCTACTCATTAC